CACAAATGGACAGCTCTGCACTACTTATTGGTCTCCATTGGGCGCCCATTGGATGGTCCAGGTATACTTAATACATTGACACACAAAATATGTATACACATTCTTACACCAATATCAATACAGTCTACATTATATGTCCTCGGCGTCATGGGCAGTCAATCCGATCCGACGTCACGTCCGTCCGTCCCCGTTCCCGTTGTTCGTCCACACCAACTGCGGGGCCTTCTCGTTCTCTCCGATGTCCTTCACCTTCGCCAAGCGTTGGATGTTCTCGAGCATCTCCGCGATGCGGCGCTCCGGCGGCGGCTTCCCCTGTGTGGCGGAAGGGCCACCGGTGTGGGGGGCCACACGGGAGTCACCGGGGCATTGGAAGAAAACACGGAGAGAAAGTGGACCGTACCATGGATTTCTACCCTCCCAAAAAAGTGAGAGACAACTGTATCAATATGACCCAAGAGCAAATATATTGCATGCATGTATTTATAGGTACGAACTGCAAGTCCAGGTACACTAAGAGTGAAACCATTTCGTCTGGGCGAAAGGTTCATCATCGCTCTTCCGCCACACCCGGTGGAGGTCCCCTTCCCTCACCTCCCCCGGCCACCCAGCCGCTGCGTTGGCGAACGAGTAATGAAACGAGTTCCTGGTGCGAGAACGGACCAGGCCGCCTAGGAAGGAGCGACCAAACCGAAACGCAGCACACCCGGTCCAGCCTGACTGAGCTCTTCTCGAAGGTTGTTCTGCGATTCGCGCGCGCTCAAGCGCGTGCAGTTTCTACCCACCGGCGACTCGGCGACCCACTCGGAGGTTTCTTGGACGTGGACAATTTCCACTGGGCCCTGTTTAACACCAAACACACCCAGGGGAGCCAGTTACCACTATAGCTGGTAACCAGTGCTTTCAAAGACGAAATCCATAGAAACCCTGGTTCCTTTATATATCTGGGATCCGGGAAATGGATGTGCATCCCAGGAGTCACAGAGCTCGGGGGGGTGGTAGTTTTCGTGGATGTGACGGACAAAGCACCCCGATGTCCAACGTGGACAAAGCACCCCGACTGGTATGCGTGTGCATGTGTTTTAGAGTGTTTTATGTTTTAATGTACAGTATTATTTTTTCTCTTGGTAATGACGAATTACTGTAGAGGATCGTAACTGCCATATGGATCCTTATCAGGAACAGTGTGTTGTTTTTCTGATCGTTTGGGTTTCCGAGCATCAAACACACTGCTAAACCGAATGTTTGCAACATGTTCTCTGGATATGGATAAAGGACGGATAAATAAATTGGTACAGTTTCTCATTCACGTACATCAGCAAGTGAGGTAAGCCTCTGTATCTGACATCTCGTGAGACTAAGACAAGTAGAACTGACCAACGCCCCAGGGACTTACCTTTGCCATTTCAGCAGATGTTTTTCTTTTGCACGGGGAATAATAAGCCCACTGTAGCCCACAGGATCTCAGTCACAGCCTAAGAGAAGGACTCTCAGACTGCAACCAAGTCCTGAAAAAGACAGGGGAACACAAGGTAGAAGCAGGATATCAAAAACATCCTCCCCAGCGGCTACTGGTGTTACAGGGGTACAGTTGAGGGCATGGAAACCGAAACAACTATATCAGAAACTCTGCGAGTTTGGCTGCTTATTCCTGATCTGAAAGACAAATGAAACATGCAGCCACCAGTCTTCGACTTCCTCTATTAAAGGAGTCCTTGGTGTTCTGGCTAGGACATCCGCTCCTTCAAAGAGAATGCACTCGAAAGCCTTGTGCCACCCGTAACCATGGACCACCCAGGGCTGCTTCTTGGCAGCAAAACCACCTGTCTCTTTCAAAGCAGACCGATATGGCACGCTGCTGGGAACACTCCCTAAAATCCACACCTTGTTTGAACTCAACCAAGGCCCCGACCATGTCCACTGGAATGCATTGAGAGATGGTATGCGTCAGCCTCGAACAGGAAGGAACAAGATCGAATGTTTGAGTCAAGTGACATGGGAACCAGCGGCGATGTGCACAATATGCACATGAGGCAAGAGGAACTGCGGCGGTGTACAAATGGTCGTCATCCACAGCATATGGGTGTACATTAAAATAGGGAGACCTCCCAAAGACTTCCTGGAAGGTTCGGGACATAGACCAGTCTACCCAACAACCAATGGGTGTCCCCGTATTCAATTACACACCGGATATCGATCCAGCCATGTATGTCATATTTATGCCGGTCTCTTGTCGATCTCCAAGGGGCGGTGCCAAAGCTGCAAGGGAAAGCGCTGAAACCCCGACTTGAGTGAGGCGTCCATAACGTTTGAGGATGCTCCTCAATGAAACAATGAACCATTGCTATTCGGCTATTCTCACACAAGCCACAATTGAGATTCTAAGTGGCAAACAGGTTCTGATGCACTTTTTTGGTGTTTGGAATCATTTAGGTTCCAAGTACTTGTCTGTGGCTAGGCTATAGCTGTTTTAGAATGTGGTTTGCGCCAAAGATCCAGCTTGTCGGTATGATAACACTAACACTTGCCCCTTCGGAGATACAACGGTGGCTGGCACTCCCAGAATCGCACACGTGATCCGGAACACTCAAGAACACAGAATAAACATTAAACTTGGACCCTGCCCCTACCTTGCAGCACTGGATGAGGATCCATGAAGAGGGGTCTCGAAGGTTCTCCAAGCGCTCCAAGGTAGGGGGGGCAGGGCCCCAAGCCTTTCAGTTCAAAACCATGTGAAGCTGTAAGGGGATTCACTCTTCAGATGGTTGGGTTTCCCGATGGATCCCAGCTGTGATATTATATCAGGGCCAGGATCATCCTCGACAAGCCTCTTCATTCGTTGACTCGTTGACTAACTCCCCTAGGCGCCAGTCCCTAGTCCCTGTTCAACAGCAATGCCATAAACAAAGGCGCGGGGTGGCTGCTTCTTCCGCGCCCACCTTGGATGTCAACCCCCTGACCCATCACATCCACCGACCCATCAAACGTCACCTGATGTCACCATCTCTGACCCATCAAACCTGGCCCTCCGCTCCGCACCACAGTCCTTATACGCACCCGCCTGGTGAGCCCGGCGATGCACACCTGCGTGCTACCAGGATCTGAAAGCGCCCGTGCCTTGGAGGTGGCGCCATGTGTTGGCGTTTTGGGGGATGCCTTGAAGGGTGTGGTAGCTTCATCCAAGAAGGATCAACCCAAAATTAGGAAGAATCGCAATTGGTAAATGTTGCGTTTGCTTCGTCGGACTCACTTCAAGCAAGCGAAATATGTGGCTTAACATCTTTAAGCTACATCATGCTACATCCATCTGATCCTCAATGGTGTTGCCCTGCCCATCCAAACCATACCCTGTGAACAAAATCATGGCCACGGGCCACGCCTACTCCGCTTGCGATTGAACTCTGCAATTACCCAACTTAGACAATGAATATATAACCATTACTATGGTATATATTCTCATATAATGTCATAATATATACATATATATATCCCCAGGGCTCCAAGGACCTTCTGAGAAGGTGTTTAGGGTGGGTTTAGAGGGTCCAAATACCTGCTGGGGAGGTACTTGGAGCCCTAGGGTATATATACTATTATACTATGTTGTTTCCCATTGCTTTCTGGCCATCCGGGCCTCACGACGCTGGCCTATCTATTCATGACAACACCCATCACCGTCCGGACCTTCACAACGGGCCCCGGTCCGGTCCGACGCGGAAGACCACGGCAGTCTCTTTGGAACCCGCGAGACACGGATCGCCGCGAGAAGCACCGGTCGTGCTGTACAGACCGGTCGCGGTTCCGCCGACCGCGACCGCCGCCGAGACGTGTGGATCCCTCGCACCCAGCCACGGCCCAAAATGGAAAGTCATGGAAGATTGATCCATGTAGAGAGCCAAATTGATTGGAAGCTGAAGATGTGCAAACGCCCTCCATGTCATGAAGAAAGAAACAACACCCAAAAAAGCACTCACGGCGAATGGGATTGATGAAAGGTCAGTAAGATTTGGTAAGCAACAAGAAATTGTATGTATTTCAATAGGGAATCCCCCACACCAATGGCTTTTTACATGTTTTTGTGGGTCTATATCCCTTCTTCCAATGGATCGTTGGGAGGTCTCCCTATTCCAATACACACCCATATGCCATATGTCAGATATTTGGAGGCCTGACATGTTTTGTTCGTTGGGGCAACCAGTGATGTTGTACACTTGGGGAAGACTAGAGGCCATTTATCCCCCCCTATTAATCAATCAACTAAGAGTAAAAGGTAATCTATGGTGGCGACTGACTGAATCCACATGGCAACTGAGATCGTCGTAAGGTGTCTGCTGCTCCATGACCATCTATTTGGCCCTGTCGCTGAGTGGGTGGATCATCTCAAAACAGCATGTTTGCGATCGCGTCAAAATTCAAAGGCCCCGGTCACAAGAGGTCTCCTCCAGGTGAGGTCTTCTGCATCTCATTGGTACTCAACACATCGATGACTTGGGTGTCGCTGGTGCCTATTTGCATGGTTGGTAAGTGGTAACCTCCAGCCATTGGTATTGTCTTGTGAAGGGTTGTTTCTTGGAGCCACGTTGGGGAAAGAAGTCAGTATGTATAAGTACCAGATAATACCTTCAGTATGTCACCATCTGTGACTTTCAGGTGTAGAAAGTTCTCCAGAAGAGACCTACTGTGGAGGTTGCTAAAACATGCTTAAACATCGCTTTCGTCGAAAACGTGGTTCAGCACAAAATGTAGTAAAAAAAAACATCCAGTGATAGTGACCTGTCGAAGACATCTCTTTGGAGCACCGGGATCGGCTGCTGCACTGAACAGTCGGATCTTTGTCCTTGGAGAATTACAATGTTCGCTTGCAGGCGACTCCTTCGAAGAAGATGGCAAGGAACATCTCAACCCAACTTACTGTAACACCTATTGCCTGACACCCATTGTTTGGCTCTTTGGCTTGTTTGCCTTAACACCTATTGCCAACATTCTATTTTTGTTTTGGCTTGTTCGGGCAAAAGAACTGACACCCATTGCCTGCTGACCTTCTTGTCGCCCGAAGTCACCTGGCCCTTTCGATGCTATTCTATACCGTGGGCGACATTGGTTGCTTTGCTTTTCCAGCCTCCGACCACCACGCCCCCCGTTGTGGCCACAGTGGATGCGCTGGTTGGATCTCATGAGAAAAGCCGTTGCAAGCGGGAACAGCAACTGCGATGAGATAACCTGGCAGCACGTGTGCTTACGGTCCAATACGGGCCTGTCAGGTGGTGAACAAAGGAAAGGAAAGACAAGCAAAAGGACAGGAAGGATCTCAACTATGGGAGGAAAGGAAACCAAATCCAAACATCCTGAAAAAAAAAAAACACACATGAAAACACACACGCAAAGAATGCCAAAGGTGGCCGCATACCAAGTGACACCTCATCTTCATCCACATCTTCTTTGGGTTCTTCAGTGCCGGCAGTGGTTGACTCGAACCCCCCCCCTTCGCAGCGGATTCGCCACACCCGATGTGGCACAGCGCTTGGCCACTCGTTCATGAAGGAACCACGGTCTGCGGAAGCGGCCGATCACAAGCACGTCCTGAGGAGGAAGGCGCTTGGGTCCTGAGCTCAAAGAGACCTCTTCGCCGACGTCGTGAGAAGCGACGGTCCTCTCAAGGTCCTTCACCTCCGGCACCACGACCCTGAAGGGCGAAACGATTGGCTCACCAGACTTGAGGGAGGATTCAGGTTCGTTCATGGGTGCATCATCCCAGAATTCCCTCCAGAAACCACCCCAACTTGGAACTGAAACCTGTTCTTTCTTAGGAAAGTTTCATGCCTGGCCTTCCCATTGCATGAAATCCAGAAATCCACATCCAAACCCAACCATAAAAATCCCACCAAAATATACCGATAGGCCGCCACAGGCCACAGGCATTTTTTGGGCAGTCATGCGGATAAACACCTCAATAAGCACCTCTCTTTCCAATTGTCATCAACACTCACTAACATGGTTTTTTCTTGGGGTGGGCCTTACATGGCACCACCCCTGGACCTCTCAAGACCAGTCATCCAGTCATGTCACCCCGGGCTCTGGCTGCCCCCGGTCGTCCTCAAGTCCTGGGCCATGAACAGATCGCATGTGGGCACAAAAATGCTGGCGCTGGGCCCACTTCTCCTCTCCCGGTCGTGTGGTTCCTCGCCCCAACCACCTTCGATTCTTATCCCAGCCGGTGTCGCCTCTCCAGGGGTGTGTCGCTTTTTGCAGGGGTCCTCCCCAGCATTACCCCCTGCGGCTTCGTCAACTCGCCTGGTGTCGAAGGCCAACGCTGTGCAGCGAGCCTGGCCAAAGCAGCTTTGAGTGACCTGGGCAGGGGTCCAAACCCGTTGCTGGTGGGTTTGAAGAGGGAGACTCTGCTGGAAGCATCTCTGGCAGTGGAGAAACAATGATGAAACAACCATTGGTTTGGGTATGTTTTGGATAGGATATGATGATAAGAATTGATAAGATATTCAATGCTGAGATCATTTGATATCAAATGCTTTGTGCAAAGAATCCCAAGTCTTGGTGCTGGGCGACCCATGAAATGCATGACCTCCATTGGGATAGGTCAAAGCAAGCAAGATCTGCCTGTTTGTCCATCAATTTTCAGGGGGGCAACACACATTTCAGCACTGTCTCCCGGATTTTTGTTGAAGGCTTAGACTGCCAAGAAGGGTACCCCCTCTGTGTCCCCCCCGACAAAACCATCGCCCATAGATATCTGACGGACCAGTTCTCCTGCAAGCCTTAAGATTCCTGGAAGTGATTTGTTTTTCGCCTTCGAGTGATGAATAGAACATAACCCTCCCAAACAGGGATTGATAGAACCTCGATGTTAGAGGGGTTCTACGAATCAACTGAGGCGGTCACTCCGTGTCAGACTGCGAAAATCCGGAGTCCACGGGACCTATCCATGGCAGTCCGGAGTCTCCATGTCTAGGTGACTCTCCCAACCAAAGAGAGCTACCCGTTCGCCTCCAAAAACAGTCGCGCATGATTGACCTGGTTGGTTGGTGCATTCATTCCTTGGTAAAAGCATGCAAAAGCCAAAGCCACAGTTCTTCGATATGAGGCTGTATAAATCAATGGTGCTTCGAATCCGACCCCAGTCCCAAGTCGACCGACGACCAGGTAACCGAGGCACCAGATCCGACCCGCAGCCGGTGAAGGCGAAGTCGGACACCCGAAGTCCGCTCCCTTGGAGGCTCAAGCTGCTGAGAGCGCTACAGTCCTGGAACGCTTTGCAGCCAATGAAGATCACCTGATGGGATCTGATCTCGCGCCGCGGCCAGGGGTCGTGAAGATCTGTGAAAGAACCCGAAACAAGCAACTGGAGTGGTTGACTCAATCTCAACATCAGAGTCAAACATGACCCTTTGAATGACATTGAAGACCATACTACAACAATAATAAGACCATGACAATACTACTATCAACATATATATATATACCAGCATGATCAAAGGGCCTCCCAATGAGTTTTGTGATATGAGGCCTCTTAAGGGGTTCCAAATGGAGACCCCTTCGGCCCACCAATGTGGGGATTTCATAGAAATCAAAACTTCATGTCCAAATCCCTGGGTTCTCTGGTTTCTCCCTCCTCCCATCCGCTGTGGCTGCCGCGGCCTCTGCCACCTGCTTTTCACGATCGAGCTCAGCCAGGTGTCTCTGGCGCGTTTGATCGAACACCGATTGACATCACAATCAGATTTTTCAACTTGTGTGTGTGTGTGGTGAGATGTGGTGAGATGGTATTTTTGAACAGTTCATGTCACCACAGTGTCACTCGGTAAGCTGACGGAGCCATCGACAGCAAATGAACGCTGAGTAGCGTGAAAGGACCTGGAATCCAAGATGGCGCGGTTTTTTCGCGCGGGCAGCAAACCGCTTCAGCTTGCCCATTCCATCTTCATCACAGTAGCAGCTCAGAAGAAGAGGATTCAGAACTGGCGCCACATCAAGGATCAGGTGATCCAAAGTTAGATGCACAAAACGCAACTCAAGAACCCACCCCTGCGATCATGCTGGACCCACAAACCCACAAAACAACATGACTGAAAACAAGTTGGCAACCCTCACACCAAGGAAGCGATGGAGCTTGGGTCTGATCTGGCAGAGAAGCTTCTCAGCCACGACTTAATGTGTGTAGACGGAGCATTCACAAGCCATCAAAGCCGCACATTCAGCCAAAGAGCAGTTGAGAGCGTTGTGGAACACGAAATTTGCCTTCTGAATCCGCCACAGGCCAGGGTCCGAAAGCCACCATTCCAGCCGCTTGGCCCACAGAAGCGATGATCTATAGTTCTATATGGGATATGCGGGAAAGGTTCGTCAGGGTCTTATCCTAAACCGCACGTTTGACGGAAAATCTAACGCGCTCCCCCGCCATCGGCTGGGGTCGGCGGATATCATCACCAACCTGAATTATCTCTCTATTTCTCTCTCTCCCACTCTCTCTAAAGAAAAGGGGCTTGCAGTGCTCCAGAATCAACCTTCGCTTTAGATATTATTGCGAGGCAAAAATTGCAAGGAGTTCACGAGGGCTTTGGTGATGAGTACGCCCGCAAATCATCGACGCAGCGCACCCTTCCCAATTACAGGAAGGCGTTGAAACGATGCACTTCTATGCACTTCTCAGCCTCAAGGCTGTATACGCTACTGGACTGCCAGCGCCAAACAAGTCAGCAGACCTTCGGTGAAGGACAACTGTGGAAGGCCCATGTGGGCAATTGGATAGTTGCCACGCTTTGGCTCCCCTGATTCGTCTCAGAGCAGTTCCACGCGCTGATGGCAGAGGCGCTTGAATCTGGATCAGGCTGGAGAAACGTCCAAAGCCGAGCTGGGACCTGCTTCAGTCTCAGATCAGAGCCCCTTCTTGGAGATCCGGGACCCGCAGTTCATTGAAGTCCAGACTTGCTGCGACTGAATTTGAGCAATAAAGCAGATGTGCGGCAAGCGGCGACAGGGCCGCACCGCGCCTTGACGGATCTTAGGTGATTCGAGCAACTCAATCGCTATGACATCGGACCTGCTAAAGGAAGAAATTTTCCACGGCGCTTCTAAGGCAATGCCATTGATGAAGTACACCTACGATGTCCAAACGCGAGTGGCACCACTGCAGAGTTCCAGGAGCTCGAGGTTGCGTAGGGCAAGAATAAAAGAAGAAGAATATGAAGAAGAATACGAAGCTTAAGCTGACCTGCATCCAGCAGAAAGGTGTCATCAGTACCATCCAGAGAGGATTCGAAAGGTGGCGTGGTCAGCCAAGCTCATGATGGGAAAGATTGCCAAACAAGAGTGGCCAGCGAGCGTCAGAACAAGATTCAAATGTTGCTTGCAAGCTTCCATGAACTATAGATGAACTAGAGTGATGCTGGTTGTTTGGCAGTGACATGAGCCATTTCGATCATTGCTCACAGAAGTCGAAGAGCATTCTTTGAGGGCTGACATTTCTCCATCGTGCGACTTGTCAAGCCCACAGAAAGCAACCGCTTGCTTTGCACGCGCCATAGCACTTGTCACTGCTCTGGAGACAGTTTTCTTTCCAAGGGAATCCCACTGCTGGACTGCTCTCGAGACAGTGTT